TCTTGCCCTTCTCTCACGGGGGCCTTATACAGAAGAAAAGGTCGATCCAAAAGGTTCAGATTTTGTGTTTTCTTTTCTTTACTTTTTTTTTTTGGGAGTTCCAGTCCACAACCACAAAGTTTTGGTAGAGGTATCCATATACTTTTTATTAGGTTTCTGGAAGATTGTAATTTTATCTGGAGAAAAAAGTCATGTTGTGTTTGAACTTTTTATTTTTTTTTATTTTTTTTTTTCTGAGAGAGAAATAATGGCACCTATGCCTTGAGCATGGTAAAAATATGGATTTGCTTAAAGTGTTTAACACATTGTATTTCCTTTTCACAACATTCATTTTATATATGTGTTGTGGCCTTTAACATATGTGAGTGAGTTTGGTATGAATGGACTTATAGTATTTGTTATTGTGACTTATGCTGTTATTGGGCTTCATAACGGTTACACCGTTATATCATTGATATTTTGGAAGTCCATACAGTCGCTATTCTGTACACCATATATTCTGTACATCAGCCATGGTATTGATATTGACAGGTTTGGTTATTTCGAAAATACATAAGTTCAGTGAAAGATCACATCTTCTTTCAATCATAAAACCAACACAATATTCATCAGCAACCTTCTAAACACACCCAAAATACACCTTCAATCAAAAGTCATTAACCTTCTAAACACACCCAAAGTCAAATTAACCTGCATCTACTTCAGCACTAACAGAAGAAGAACACAAGCCAACATGAACATTACAAATAAAGTTGGAAACTTCTCCTTCTTAACAAGTGTGTCTATACACTCCTCCAATTTAGCATGTTTAACCTGCAGCTCCAACATCTCTCTTTCTATGATGTCCAATCTTGAGGTTAACACTTTGACCTCCTCTTCTTTGCATTTCAATTCATCACCCAAACCTTTCCTTTCATTCTTGAACATCAAAAAAGCAGCCTTTTGAGATGGTGGAATCTCAGGATCACACCATAAGAAGAACTTACAGTCCTTAAACTACAATACAATCATTAGATTACAAACATCAAAATAATTATGACGAATTAAAAAAAAAAAATAGGGCAAAATCTGTCCATCATGTTTTGAATTATTTCTAAAAAATTAGAGTAAAATCTGTCCATAAAACTTACCTTTCGACGTGGACAACGGAAGTATCTTCGACCCGGATTTGCATCAGTTTGCGAGATCAGCAAATCGGCCTCATCTGGACAGTAACAACGGACTTGTGTGTGGGTTGCACTTCCATTCGAAGCTCCACTGTTGGTCGAGCTTGTTGCCATGTGTGGAGGGAGGGTCGAAGATAGAGATTGCAGTGATTCTTTGCAGCTGAAGGAACAATTTCTTGTCGAAGATAGGGTCGCAAGTCGTTAAGGAACAATTTAGGGTCAATTTAGGGTTTTGTGATTTGAGTTTGGGGATGTTTCGGTTTTATAACAGTTGGATGCAAGAAACGACGTCGTTGCGACAAATGCCACGCACGCGACGGGCTGGCACTTGTTATGTCCCCTCCGAGTCGCTACCGCGACAAATGCCACGCACGCGACGGGCTGGCACTTGTTCTGTCCCCTCCGAGTCGCGCCCGCGACAAATGCCACGCCCGTGACGGCCTGCCACTGGTTCTGTCAGACGAAGTGTCGCGACCGTGACGTATGTCGCGTCCGCGAAGCCCTGGCACTGGTTCTGTCCCCGTAAGTTTCGCGCCCGTGACACGCGTCGCGGCCGCGACTTGCTGCAATTGTTCTGTCCAAGTATTTTTTTTAACGAATATGCTCTCGTTGTGGTTTTTTTGATGGCATGACATGTTTGCAATGGAATAAATAACGCTGAAAATCTAAAATGTCGAGTCCAACACATAAACGAAATCACAAATCAAAACCAAATGTCGATTCCAAAACACAAACCAAACACATCATATGATGGTAGAATCATATGAATTCCAAAACACAAACCAAACACATCAAAGTCTAGTAGCAACTCGATTCAAAAACCACAAAACAAATCAGAAATCAAGTCCACAAAGCACAAGTCACTGTCCGCTCGGTGGAGGTGGAGGTGGGGGAGAGTGTACGCTGGTGCCCGAACTCCGGCGAACATCCCATTGATTCCACATGTCGTCCCATTGATTCTACTTCTCAAATTGTTTAGACTCCCAACGGGTCCAACGGTCGTCCCATTGTTTCCACTGCTCAGCTTGTCGAGACTCCCATTGCTTCAAATGTTGAATGTGTCGTGCCCATCGCTCATTACTGCGCGTGATGTAGTTAACCATCATGGTATTGTTCTCCGTCCATTTCCTTTCATTATGCTCAACGATGGTATCGAGCCTCTTGTTGTGCTCCTCCCAACGCTTATCATTATTCTCAATGAAGGTATCGAACCAAGCGGGGGCTTGTTGACATCGCGCGTCCGGACCGCCCGCGCCATCAGCTGGAGGGAGATTATGTTTTGGGACGTGGAAAACATATTCTTCTCTATGTTATAAGTTCCAGATGTTTCTCCCCAGCTATGCTGCTTTTATTTAATATTGAATAAATTTTTGATCGATTTACGATTCCAGTCATAATCCACTTGAATTTCCCTCCTCATTCAAATAATTTGTACGATCATGTCGAATTGTCGTATGATTTTTAACAACGATGTAACGAATGATTTAGGTGGTAATTATTAACGGTTTGGACATAAAGCATATAAAAATAACTCAACAATGGCCCCGGTCCGAGGTGAACCGAGGTGAAGAGCCGTTATGGGCTGTTACGCGTTGCATGTTTTTTGAATTCGGGATCCCCCGTACAAGTGTCATAGGCTGACTATTTATAGCAACTTTTTACGTACATATCGGGATTTGTGCATTAGCTTTTTCATAAAGCTACTTTTTGGTGGGCGGCAGGATCAGTGGGTCCCATTTGAATGATGATAAATCCCGTAACTCGCGATGGGGGTGCGTAGGCGCCTTGTCACCTGCTTTAGGAGGTGAGACCTCGGTTTGTGTTTGGAAGGTAGGACCTCGGTTCGCGCTTACTTCGGTTTGGTATGACCTCGGTCTTCGGTAATTCAGATTGGTTCATTGTGCGAATTAGCACAGCTTTGGATCACGTCGGTTCGATGGTTAATTTTACTTAATATGAAGTTTTAAGACTCCTCAACAACGCTTGCCGAGTTGGATGATAACAGAGAGGCCCCCAATATCGGCGATCATACGGAGTGATGGTCGTCGAGTTCTTTGGTAAGCTTTTATCCTCCATTTTTATTTCTTTATTCGTTCGTTCTGTGTTATTCCTTCTGTGTAATGGCGTCGAAAGGAAAGGGTAAAGCGGTGACGAGTTCTTTGAGTACCGAATCAGTTCCACTAGAGGTATATCATGACTCGGAACTGGTCGAATTGGCTTTCGAATACCATCGGTGGGATCCGATGTTAGTGAGGCATTTAGATATTAAGCCTAATGACGAAGACGGTGATTGTATGGTGGAGGAGGATGTAGCCGTTGTCGAGGTGCCTCATTGGAGGAGGCCGGTGAGAAAGTGGCTTGATCCTAAGGTCGATTTTGAGGGTGAGCCCAGTATCTTGACCGATGCCGACGTGGTGTTGTTGCGGGAGCAGGTGAGGATTCCACCGTCGGTGAAGGTTTTCGCCCCTTACCCCGGGGAGAGAATAAGAAGCCCTCCTCCGGGTTGTGTGGGTATATTTGTGGAAAGCTTGAGGTCGGGATTGAGATTCCCCTTACCGAACATGATCACGGAGTACCTTCGGAGTTGGGGGTTGCCGTTGTGCCAAATTACTCCCAACAGTCGGAAGAAAATTATCGGCCTGATGGTGTTGCTGCACGAGCAAGGTGAAGGGTTACCGTCATGCGAGGAGATAAGAAGTATCTTCGCCTTTAAGAAGAGCCCGAAGAGACATGTTGCGGAATCTTCGTGTTGCTTCTTTGCAGGGGCTAAACCGCAACGTGGTATGAAAGTCGGTGAGATTATAACCGATATCCCAGAGACTCTTCATGGATTTCGGGAGGAATGGTTGTGGATTGGAGGAGAATGGCAGCCCGAAAGCTTTTAATATGAAGTTTTAAGACTCCTCAACAACGCTTGCCGAGTTGGATGATAACAGAGAGGCCCCCAATATCGGCGATCATACGGAGTGATGGTCGTCGAGTTCTTTGGTAAGCTTTTATCCTCCATTTTTATTTGTTTATTCGTTCGTTCTGTGTTATTCCTTCTGTGTAATGGCGTCGAAAGGAAAGGGTAAAGCGGTGACGAGTTCTTCGAGTACCGAATCAGTTCCACTAGAGGTATATCATGACTCGGAACTGGTCGAATTGGCTTTCGAATACCATCGGTGGGATCCGATGTTAGTGAGGCATTTAGATATTAAGCCTAATGACGAAGACGGTGATTGTATGGTGGAGGAGGATGCAGCCGTTGTCGAGGTGCCTCATTGGAGGAGGCCGGTGAGAAAGTGGCCTGATCCTAAGGTCGATTTTGAGGGTGAGCCCAGTATCTTGACCGATGCCGACGTGGTGTTGTTGCGGGAGCAGGTGAGGATTCCACCGTCGGTGAAGGTTTTCGCCCGTTACCCCGGGGAGAGAATAACAAGCCCTCCTCCGGGTTGTGTGGGTATATTTGTGAAAAGCTTGAGGTCGGGATTTAGATTCCCCTTACCGAATTTGATCACGGAGTACCTTCGGAGTTGGGGGTTGCCTTTGTGCCAGATTACTCCCAGCAGTTGGAAGAAAATTATCGGCCTGATGGTGTTGCTGCACGAGCAAGGTGAAGGGTTACCGTCGTGCAAGGAGATAAGAAGTATCTTCGCCTTTAAGAAGAGCCCGAAGAGACATGTTGCGGAATCTTCGTGTTGCTTCTTTGCAGGGGCTAAACCGCAACGTGGTATGAAAGTCGGTGAGATTATAACCGATATCCCAGAGACTCTTCATGGATTTCAGGAGGAATGGTTGTGGATTGGAGGAGAATGGCAGCCCGAAAGCTTTTTCCATGAACCTCGGATTGACGGGATGACGATTCCGATGTTTATACATTCCGGAGCAAGTGAGTTTACTTCATTTTTCAATTCGGATATATTCTTCTGATTTTATTTTGTTCTGTGTAGTAACAGGTCGGAACTTTTGCCCTTTGTAGAAAAAGAGACTAAGCAGGCGCCCTGAATTCCATAATGAAGGTATCGTTTTAAATATTTATAGATAATAATTTAAGGGCAACTTATAGCATATAACTTAGACTTATAGTTGAAAAACTGTATCATTTTAAATATATATAATAATAAAGTTTTAACAAAAAAAGTAAATTTATAATTAAAAAAGACTATAAATTTCTTTTCATGAAAGTAGTGGAGCATTGCTTATTGCTTAATTATAAAGAGTGGGTTTGTTAGGCCCTTAGAAGAACAAATTAAAGATCAACTAGTTAACTATATATAGAATTTGACCGTGCAATTAATTTTTTATTGTTGAATTAATATATAGGTATGTATTGATTCAATTATAATTATTTTATAAACAACCATAACGAATATAAGCTCGTTATTTCAATGTTATAACGAAAAGATATTCGTTATGATTGTTTTTCGACCAAATCGCGCTTTATTTATGGTTTTTTCGATCGATTTACTTGATAAAGCATGTATATTAATGAAAAATGTCATTGGAACGATAGTATGAAGTTGTTAGATCGTCAAAACCTTCATCACAAAATTCTTTACAGTCGAGTAATTTTTTTACTGTTTCAGTTCAAAAAATCAGCATGAAAATCAATAAAAATCAGCATGAAGCTACACAGCTACACGAAAGCCCATCCTTCTTCAAGGTCTTTGTTGTCGTATGATTTTTAACAACGATGTAACGAATGATTTAGGTGGTAATTATTAACGGTTTGGACATAAAGCATGTAAAAATAACTCAACAATGGCCCCGGTCCGAGGTGAACCGAGGTGAAGAGCCGTTATGGGCTGTTGCGCGTTGCATGTTTTTTGAATTCGGGATCCCCCGTACAAGTGTCATAGGCTGACTATTTATAGCAACTTTTTACGTACATATCGGGATTTGTGCATTAGCTTTTTCATAAAGCTACTTTTTGGTGGGCGGCAGGATCAGTGGGTCCCATTTGAATGATGATAAATCTCGTAACTCGCGATGGGGGTGCGTAGGCGCCTTGTCACCTGCTTTAGGAGGTGAGACCACGGTTTGTGTTTGGAAGGTAGGACCTCGGTTCGCGCTTACTTCGGTTTGGTATGACCTCGGTCTTCGGTAATTCAGATTGGTTCATTGTGCGAATTAGCACAGCTTTGGATCACGTCGGTTCGATGGTTAATTTCACTTAATATGAAGTTTTGAGACTCCTCAACAACGCTTGCCGAGTTGGATGATAACAGAGAGGCCCCCAATATCGGCGATCATACGGAGTGATGGTCGTCGAGTTCTTTGGTAAGCTTTTATCCTCCATTTTTATTTCTTTATTCGTTCGTTCTGTGTTATTCCTTCTGTGTAATGGCGTCGAAAGGAAAGGGTAAAGCGGTGACGAGTTCTTCGAGTACCGAATCAGTTCCACTAGAGGTATATCATGACTCGGAACTGGTCGAATTGGCTTTCGAATACCATCGGTGGGATCCGATGTTAGTGAGGCATTTAGATATTAAGCCTAATGACAAAGACGGTGATTGTATGGTGGAGGAGGATGCAGCCGTTGTCGAGGTGCCTCATTGGAGGAGGCCGGTGAGAAAGTGGCCTGATCCTAAGGTCGATTTTGAGGGTGAGCCCAGTATCTTGACCGATGCCGACGTGGTGTTGTTGCGGGAGCAGGTGAGGATTCCACCGTCGGTGAAGGTTTTTGCCCCTTACCCCGGGGAGAGAATAACAAGCCCTCCTCCGGGTTGTGTGGGTATATTTGTGGAAAGCTTGAGGTCGGGATTGAGATTCCCCTTACCGAATTTGATCACGGAGTACCTTCGGAGTTGGGGGTTGCCGTTGTGCCAGATTACTCCCAACAGTTGGAAGAAAATTATCGCCTGATGGTGTTGCTGCACGAGCAAGGTGAAGGGTTACCGTCGTGCGAGGAGATAAGAAGTATCTTCGCCTTTAAGAAGAGCCCGAAGAGACATGTTGCGGAATCTTCGTGTTGCTTCTTTGCAGGGGCTAAACCGCAACGTGGTAGACATGAAGGGATAGAAAAATCACGACTCGGTCTAAAGTGAATACGATATTTTATCTACATCTTCATTTCAAAAGTGAAGAAGATACATATACATCTATGTACCGATTGAATCAAAACTGTTAACTTTCGAAAATATATGATTTAGTGCAAATTTACACACTAAACCATATATGGTGTAGAGCATATATTCACATTTTAAAAATGATTGTAATACAATGAATTGCTTACAATCATGGTTAAACGATTTAGAAATTGAATTGCAATATATTCACTTATTGGAAAATTATTGTAATAAATTGAATTGCTTACAGTCCTGAGACACGTCAAAAGTAATCACTCGTGAGAACCCTTACATTTGGAAAAAAACACATAGAGGTTAAATAATCGGTAATGAATAGTATGAAAACTGTTTCTCACCGGTTATCTACATTATGAAGTTTACTGATGCTACTCGCATATGAAATACATTAGCAAATTGCAAAAGTCAAGTCAATTTCGTACAATTAAAGTCAAATTATTACGATTGAAGTCAATTTCGTATAATTAAAGTCAAATTACTGCTTTCCGTTTCTTAATTTTATGTAAGGTGCACTTAATATAATAGAATATAAACAAAAATTAATTTTTCATTTTATTTTTTTTAAATACGTAAGCTTAGTTTTTTTCCGTTTATAAAGATTTAGTGTCTTTTCGTTTCTTAATTTACATGATTTTTTTTACATAATAGAATATAATGTAAGTTTCCATCTGAAGACATGTTTTATAAAATTTTAAATTTTATGTAACATTTTCAATAAAAATGAAAAATGCTATATATATCATGCATTAAATTGGTTGACATCTTATCACAAATCTATTTCTTTCCTTCTAAAAAAATGAATAATTTGATTAATTTTTAACAAATCAGTATTTGAAATTTTTAGCCCTACCTAGCGCACGGGTGTCCGCTTATTGTAATATCTCCTTAACAGCCATTCAAATTGAATTTGGATATCTTATAAAGTTTTAAAACATTTATAATGTAATTCCTCGTGTTTTGGTTCTTATATTACGTGGCGTAAATAATTTCTTGTGTTGCGTAAATTATAAGAGTATATTAGTTTGTTAAAAATATCAAAATATTGGCATATAATAAAATTATGTAGTTAATTTAAAAAAATTATCTTAATACATAATATATGACAATAAATTTTAGAATAAAATAATAGTTGAGTATTATAATGAAGAAAATTAGGATGATCTTATTTTGGTGTGAAATGTCCCAATTTAAATTGTTTGAATTTCATTTGGTATAAATAAAAGTGTGTTTTGAAATTTTGAAAACAGTGTGGTCGAAATTTGTAAGGTGGACGATTCGAGCCACCGGGTGCCAAAAGAACTCCATTCAAATCCAAAATGAGGAGTTTTTTGTTTGGTTGTCCTGCTTCCACAAC